AAAACATAAAACAGCATATATAACACACAAAAACATAATAAAATTTGGACTCACATAACTATTGTGGTCCCCACCTCCTATCTAACAACTAACATAAAACATCTACTCAGAAAAACATCATAAAACTAATTAATCTTCAACAGAAGTAATGTAGGTAATCCTGATCCATCAAGAGCAGGGAGTGTTTTTAGAGATAAGAATGGAAATATCATAGCAACGTTTTTGGGCCCAATAGGTGTTGGGGACCCCGCAAGGGCAGAACTTCAAGCTGTACTAGGGCTACAATGGCAAAGGAATTGAATTTGAATAATCTGACTGTTGAAGGAGATTCCAATGCTGTAGTTGGATGGTTGGGAAATAGTGGGAAGGTGGTGTGGGGATACAGGAATGAATTAAGGCAGATCAAAAGCTTAGCAAGAAATATAAATGTTAAGATTAATTGGGTACCTAAATCTGCAAATGGGCTGGCTGATACTTTGGCAAAGCAAGGGATTAATAGAAACCAAATGTTTTGGGCTTATTTGTAGTTGTTTCTCTTTTTATGTGGTAAGGTAGTAATTGTTACCTTCCCAAAGGGGTGCCTGTAATGTTTACAACTTTTTCTTGCATTAATAAAAATTTCATCAAAAAAAAAACTTCACAAAATCAGTACCTAAGAGTCTTTATACTACCATGCAAATTGCACAAATCTGAGAGATAAGGAAAATGGAAGATCAGAAGATGAGTTATATAATTTATTTACATATTAGAATGACATGATTAGAGAATATGTGGATTAGGTTCCGTTTATTTCAACATTGAGGAAGAAAATTTTTTAATCTGAAATGTCTCAGTATATTTTTTCACCTTTTATAGTGAAAACTTTGTTTTTCAGTTGCTTTGCATAGAGTTAAAAGCAGTCTCACCAGCAAAAAAGATGTGTATTCCAACATTGCAATGTCGATTAGAAAACTGAATGGTAAATAGGAGAACAAACAAAAATAGCCAATATTCAGACAATTTGGAAGTACATTGTCATCACTTTGAACTTAATTTCATGCTTCTTGCCAGAAATACACTTTTCAGGTCCCAAACTCCCAATAGATTTGAACTAAATTAACTACTGATGCCAATAATCTCAACTTCAAAGAAACAGCTCAAGTACAGCAAACTCAACACCCAAGAATTCTGATGCTTTCACCTGGTTATGTATGAGGTGCTCAAAGTAACCATGGAATAAACTAGCAGGATGATCCACACGACTCTCGTCCACCCTCCCCTTGTGGACTAGGCTTTAAACTCCTGTCAACATGGATCAACCCAACTAAATAAGGGTCAATCCCCTTCTTGTATTCATTAAATACTGGCTAACTTCTAAACTTTACTAAATAGTTATTAATAACTGATATAGCTCTACATACACTTTTATTGGGATATTAAGTAATTGAACAATTGCAAGCATAACTTTTGGAGCATAAATGTAGACTTAAAAATCAACTATACCCATAATAAAGATACTATAATTAGAAATCCAACAATCATTACTCTTCTATGAAGCAACAAGTGCACGTTTCATCAAAAGCCCACCAATGTAAACTCTTCAACATAGTGGGGGAGTGGGAGGAAAATGAATCAGTTTATTTATTTATTTATTTTCAGGATCTAAGGCTTGAAAGTGTAAGGTTGTGGTAGTAATATCGGACCTCTCCGGGACTCATCTTTGTCCAAAAGCCTCTGAACCCTCTTCTTCGCGCAATACTGGCGATCAAAATGCTTAACCTGTAATTCAAACAAATGCCACATTATTCATCAAAAAAAAAAAAAAAAACAAATGCCACATCATTCCCAATTAGACAGGACTCGAGAAAATTCAAAAACAGAATATAGGAATTATAATGAGTTTAAACGGTAAGAAATATTCAAATTACCCAAGTGGGTCGACACAGTTTCTCGAATTCAGCCCTAGATTTCTTGCACTCAACCGGATAGAGAAGACCCACCGACGCTATTTCAGTGGGTTTCTTGTTTGATTCCTTCTCTAAACAAGCATAGAACGCATTCCGGGCCTAGACGAAACAATCCATTAGACAAAGCAGCCTGCGTTCTTTTTTCTTCTTCGAAAAGAAATTCAAAAATAATAAATAACAAATTAACGAATCGAAGGAAAAGGAGGTACCTTGTAACAGGCTTGCCTCGCTTCTGCAAGCACGTCTGCATGGATTTTGTCGGAGCCCGGAGAGGCGTAGGTTTCTAAAGCCATCGTCACCTCAACGTATCTGCGAGTACAGTCTTCCCTCCATCAACAGTTTTCCGTTTCGAAGTTTGGAGGGGAAACCGGTCGTATATAACTAGTCTAATAAAGTCTATCAATCATACGGTTAGAATGAGGCAGATGCATCTGAACGAAAACCAAGTGACGCTCTATCGGACGATCTTCTATCAATGGAATGTGGGCCGGCCGGCCGCGGGCCAGCACGGTCCGAACCCCTGGGCACAAGCACCGTCCGAACCTGGGCCATGCCAGGTCCCGCCCTAAATCAGGGACATTGTTTGTATATAATTTTCCAAACCCACCCCAACCCTCGTGATAAACTAGTAAAATATCCTAGGTTTAATATTAATTTCTAAAATGCCTCTAAGTTTTCCCCAAATTCTTAAAATCCTAGGATCCCATAATTTCATTTTTATAATACTCCCAAATTGTCATAATTCAATTCTTAAAATACCCCAATTTTTTATATCTTATTTCTAAAATATCTCTAAATTGATGTATTTTTGGTTAATTGCATCATGGTGGGGAAAATTCGAGGACTCCCCATGCCTAATGGGGAGTGAGTGCCCTGCCCCGAACCTGCCCCCAAACCAAGGATGGGGTAGGGTATTTTGGCTATAGGGCAGGAATGGGAAGGGGGTGCCCAACCCCATTTGCCATTCCCACGGGTCCAGTTGGGGTTTTATGACCCATGGGCTGGCACAACACGGCATGAAAACGTTGGCCCGTGTCAGCCTGGCCCATGGAATGATGGCTCAATGGCATAGAGCTGGTACACACTGACCAGCCTAAACAATATAGTCCGTGATAGCTATTTTTAGCTTTTTTAGGGAGAATTTTATAAAAATACCCCCTCAATAACTATAAATAACTAGCTTGAGGATTATTTGTGTATTTGGCCTTGGGGTAAAAAAATGACTTAAATGCCCCCCAGCAACTAGTTTGCTGGGCATCTTAATAAGGTGATAGTTAAATTTGTGAAAGACTAAAATACCCCTTCCAAAAACTATAAAATTGTTAATTTATAAAGGTATTTTGGTCAATTGAATAATTCTCAAATCCTATAAATACCCTTACCCTCCCTCATTCTCATCACATCAATTCTCACTCTCATGCTCACATACTCTCCCATACTCTTTAATCTCTTATTTCCTAGTCCCTAGTTCTCAATTTTATTCAAGTTTCAACAATGAAAATGTTTGCACAAGTGTCTAAAGTTAGCAATTGGGAGGTTTAGAAGTTTCACTAGTTGAAACAAGTTGGCATACGAAAATAAATGGGTTAGCAGTAATTATTTTTTTTCTAAATTTTAGGATTTTAATGTTTTAAATTTATTAAAATTAATGGTTGATTCTTCTTAAACTCCCTTTCCCTACACTTTCGATAAGGTCTAGCCACACTACAATAGCGCCAATATTAGTGTCAATGGTATTGCTACTAATAAAAGCCACTCCTAGTGTTAGGAGTGACATGAGAAAAGCTAGTAAAGTCTAAAAAATATTCCTTGTAAAAGAAGTTGAGGGAAAGGGAAAGAAAACAGTTTGCAAATATATATATATATATGGAAGCTATAGTAGTCAAAGTGTCACTAGCCATTTAGATAAACACATGGCGACACATTTAAGAAAAAATGATGATGAAAACCAAACACAAATTGCATGCGGGCTTTTTGATAATTTTCATTAATTACAAGAAAAATGAGACAGAAATTAGTATACATACATACATACATATACATATATATACACACACATTCATACATGTTGAACAATCCTTTTTATTAGCTGAAGATCCTATACTTGAAATTTTTTACAACAATTTATAAATTTTAGGGTAAATTTCTTAAACTACCTTTATGGTTTAGTTAATTGACTTAGGGTATCCCTACTGTTTGAAAATTGGCTGACACTACCTCTATCGTTTCTGACAATTAACTAGCTATACCCTTATGGTTTGCATCCGTTAATATTTCGTTAAATTCATATTCAGATCATAGTATATTTTTTTAAACCCAGTTTTACTCTTTCTATCTTCTTCCTTTCAACAGCAAACCAAACTAGTTCCCTTGGGTTGTTCATATTTCTTCTCAAAGCTCAAGATTTGTGAAGTGGTAGATTCCCAACGTTGCTGCTAGTATTTTTTCTCAAAGCTCGAGATTTGTGAAGTGGCAAATTCCCGGCATTGCTACTACCAAAGTTCCATGTTAGTAGCGACAAAATGATTAGTACACGATCCTCGGACCTCCATCTAAATTCAAGCTTCTTTCCCTTACTACTACCACCTTCACTGTCTTGTCCTCGCCTTCGCCTTCTTCTTCTGACAAGCACAGGGAGGTCCTTTTCCTCTTCCGACGAGCACAGGGAGGTCACTGACAGGTGAGGCCATAAACTGATGGATCTTCAAAGAACATGTCATTAAGTCCTTTCCAACAAGTGGCAGTGGTCTAGTTACGTCTTCCTCTGCTATGGTAATGGTAAGCATTTGACTAGTCCCACCCTGACATGGTTTGAAGTCTGAACAATTACCGTACGACCCACCAACTCTATTGTCTACGGTTCTTTGAACTATTCAATCTTGTGATTCGTTCTCCTCTGTTCTTCAAGGCAATCTGTCTTTTCTCCCTTTGTTCTTGATTCGTTCTCCTTTATTCACTCACTGTCTTGTCCTTCAGATTCACAAATGATCATCAATACACGGTCCTTTGATATAAGTTGTAGCTTTGGTTCCCAAGCTTGCCTTAGCAATTGTTTAAAACTATGCCAATGATCCCTCCTCCATCTTCTTCTAGGGATATCTTAGAGGAAAACTATAGAAAAGAAGTTGCAACAACGCTAGTGGTCATGCCCCAACTCGGGCAATGCCGTTTAAGTTCAGCCTCAATGGCATTGCGGATGTCGATGCCAGCACTAGAATAACATGAAGAAGGGGACAGGGAGAGAGAGAGAGAGAGAGGAGAGAAGGTTAGCCATCGCTGGGTTTGAAAGGTTAGGGTTTTGATGAACCAATGTTTTTTTCCCTTTTCCCTGTTTTATTTTAAAAATTTGAAGAAGAATAAAGGGTAAAATAGTCTTTTTTTTTCTTTCAGTTAACGGAGACTAACAGTAAGGGAAGTATTAGTCAATTGTCAGAATTAGTAGGGGTAGCTTTAGTCAATTTTCAAACAGTAAGGGTACACTTAGTCAATTAGCTAAACCATAAGGGTAGTTTAAGAAATTTACCCTAAATTCTAAATTTAAAAAGTTTTTAGAAATACTATAATAGGATGCTTTAAATTTTTTTATTCATAAAGTAAGACTTAATTGGTACTTTGTCAAATCTTAATAGAGGTGTGCTTACTTTTGATATTTGAACTTATAAATATAATATTAGTTATATTTATGTCATGGGACATTTTATTGATAAAGCATGGCTTTTGCAAAAAAAATAAAATAAAAAATAAAGTTTTATAAGACTTGAATTGCCACATATTGACTCAGCAATTGTTGTAAATTGTTTAAATACGTTATGTATGTATAATATTGAAAATAAAGTTTTTTATATTAGCTTTGATGATGCTAATAATAATTATTCTGTATTAAATATTTTAAAATCTCAATTTAAACTATTTTTTAATAGAAAAATGATTTTGTATTAGATGTACATGTTATATTTTAAATTTATAGGTAAAGTAAGCTTTAAATATTATTTAACCATTGTATTTTTTCAATTTAATTTTATTATGTTACATATGATCAATTGTACATATTAAATTCAAATGAAATAACAATTTTAGATTCTTTTTCAATTTGTTGTCTATTTTTTAGTATTTTATGTTATTTTTTAAAACTCTTTGTCATTTTTTCTTAGCAAAAGGAAACGAAAAAGGTAAAAATATATAGGCACATGGTCACTATGCTAGGCATAGGCCCACTAGGGATAGGCTTTAGGTCGTGTCAGGCTCCTCTCTTTGGGGATTTATGCTAAAGTAGGCACAACCCACTACAATGTGACAAAGTCCACAAAAGTGGGTCATTCATCACATTACACCTATAAGAAAAGCTCATTTCTAAAATGAAAGTGTTGATTTGTGATTATTGAATTTGGGGATTGAGGAGTGTCCTAAATTCCTAATAGACTATAGAAGGATTTGTAAGTATGGGGTAACTACACTTTATATATTATTTTGATTGAGACTCATTATTTAATTTCAAAAATTAAATCAAGTTTAATTTCTAATTGACAACTTTTTTTTCTAAAAATGGAATCTACGTAATTGAAAGTTTTTATGTTGAGTCTTTGATATGAATTAAAAAGCTATATGCAATTGAAAATACATGATATCACAAGGGTTTTAATCAATCAGCCTCCTAATTTGATAAAATGCAACACCTGATTATAGTTAAAACTTTCATGATACCAATTGGTTGGTTACAAGTTTTTGGTTATAATCAAACTCTAATTTGAATTATAAAATTGAATTTAAAATATGGACCCCACATCTCTTAAATGGTTACTTTTTTATTGGTAAACATGTGTCTAAAAGTAGTGATTTTTCTAATATTAGAATTAAGTAACTACTCTCACTTTTTATGATTAGAGTGGATAAACACATGTCTACAAAAGAAGAGTTTGGATTTAGTCCCTCCAATCAATCTCATCAACCATTGCATATGTGCATTCCCATGCTTTAGGAACATCTCCCTTGTCCTTCATGGAGAGGTGTTATAGATGTACAACTGCAATGGATGTTGGGACTAATTAATGGGATCCTATGTCGGGATCAGATTTAGACTGAAGGAAGAAAACTTCTATTTTAGAGTGAAAGCATCTACTTTTTTGATACTCTTTCTTAATAAGATAGTTGCAGGCATACTTAAAAAGTCCCATATTTATTTTTTTTATTTTAAAATTTCAAACAATACAAAATTCTAAAAGGGTTTAGAAGCAATATGAGTTTGGCATGGACAATTGCAGTTTAGAATGTAGTATAGATACTAGAGAATGCTCTTGTACTAAGTACAAGGCAACTATACCTATATTTCATTTTTTTTATTTTTTGGTAATAATATAATTTTGTTTGAGA